CCCCAAAACCCCAAAACCCCAAAACCCCAAAACCCCAAAACCCCTATTTTTACCATCAAAATTGTTATTCGGCACTATTTTTAATAAATATGGCAGCTCAGGTTGCTAATTCTCAATTTTCAGACTCTCATGGCAGAGAAGAGGACAAAAATGAGAACTCATCGGAAGGTGTTGCTCAAAATATTATTGATAATTTACAGAATGAATTTGAAGCTATGTCTCACTCAAATTTGGCTATTATTGATACAGACGATCGAGTAGAGGACATTCTTTATGGCAATCCTCTATGCTCTCTGAAAAAGACCTTTGGATTAATTATTAAACTACTTTTGGCTGCTTTTATGCTCGGAGTTACATGAGTTTTGATGTGGGTGTTCAATACAAACCATCCTGCAGCTGAGAGCACAGTTATGTTCATTACCATGAATGGGGTAGCAGCTCCATTTATACTGATTTTAGTCAATATACTCATCACTCTGTTCTTTCTTCCTGGAATATTTGGTGCTCTTTTGTGTGGGTACAGTTATTGATTTATACTTAATAATGTCCTACTAGTCTTACTTGCAGGAACATCAACATGATTTATAGGGTTTTCTATCGGAAGCATCATAGCAATGTATATTGGAAGATATTTGGCAAGGAGTTGCATTCAAAAGATACACGATAGAAATAAATATCTCCGAGCTCTTAGCATATGATTTAAAAAGAGTGGTCTTAAAATCATGTTTCTTCTGAGACTTTCGCCATTAATTCCATATAACTTGTTGAACTATGTAATGGGAGTTTATCCTATAACAATTATGCAATTCTCAATTGCCAACCTAGGCATGATTCCAGGAATTTTGATATATGTGTACATTGGAACAGCTGTTTCTAGCATCGGAGCTCTGTTTGAGACGAGTAATGGAAGTTCTATCCTTAAAATAATTATGTTCTCAATAGGACTTGTTGTTGCAGTAGTTGCTATAATTTTCATAATTGCTTATACAAAAAGAGAACTTAACAAAGCATTGATAGAGAAGGAGAAAGAGGAAGCTAATAAACCAAACGAAGATCAAGAAAATCATTTACAAGATATCAATAATGACAATCAGTCAGAATCTTATGAGATAGAACTAAGTAATAGAGGACGCAATCTAAGTCAGATTCGCCCATTTCAAGAACCTGATCCTTCTCCAACAATGTATTGAACTATGAAAAAGCAAAGCAATGACAACTCTGATAGTCAAAACATAAAATCAGAAGAGAGATTCCAAAGAAGTATGAGTGAGAAATACTCTCTAAAAATCGAAATCAATCCAAACCCTTGACCGAACAAGTCAAATATATCTAACAGAGCCTGCCATCTAACTTCAGTTATAAAATTATAGCTTTATATTCCTAAGAATTTCAACTTTCAATTTTTGACTTTTATTAGGGGTTTTGGGGTTTTGGGGTTTTGGGG